CAAGTAGTAGCGAAGATGAGCTCCAGATAGACGTTTATACAGATATGTTAGAAAGACTAACTGTAGAAGGTTTTCTTCTACAGGTAGTCGATCGCTTTGATAGCAGTGATAGTGATATCGTCCAAGCAACAAGGCGACGAGAGAAAGAGTTCGCATAGATAGCGATTACAACAACAAAACAAAATTACGAAACAAACAATAACAAAATTATAGAAAATAAAATATTGATTTTTTTGCAAATTTCTCGATTTCAGCCAAATTCATATAAGTCCAATATCATTACAATATGTTAATTAGTTCCAAAACCATATTAAATAATACGAGGGTCTACAAATGCCCGTTTCTGACGAAAAGCGGCGCTGAGTAGCTGGTAGCCAACGTCCAGAATAGTTTATTGCAAGTTTAACCCTTAGGTTAAACTGTGATATTATTATCGAAAACAATTGTACAATAATCCTTGGCTATTGTGATATTCCGTTCATGAAAATTATTTATACATTTTACACACATGATTTTATTATACGTCGTTGAATTCGTCAATCTATCGACTAGAATATAGCATTGAAAAAAGGTTCAAGGACACTTCGGATCTACCAAAGTGTAACATATACGAATATCGAAGTTCATGTATGCAGGATGTCCCAAAAATGTCGCGTAATCCGGAAATGGGGGGGGGGGGATTTCCATCAAGGACCTTAGGTCATTTGAAGTAACGTTTTCCTTAGCGGAAATGCAATCCGCAACTTCGTTTACGAGTTATTAATGAAAAGCATTGATCAGTAACGAGCATTGGAACTATCTCTATCATCTAGGAACAATACGAATCGTTTAGTTTAGTTTTAAAAGTGTTATTGTACTGTTAAAAGTGTCCGAATATTAATGGGTGTCGCTGTACATAAATTCTCACGTGGGAATTGATTAAGGTATAAATACTTCCGCTGGCAGAAAAAGCTAAAGGCAAATAATAAGATAAAAAACGGAGTACAAGAGAACACTGTCCATCAAGGACACGAGACTTCCACGGCCAGACATTTCTATAAAATTCTCACCGTTGATGCTTTCAGATATAAGTCGCGTCCTTCCATAACGTTTACGCAACTATGCTTGTCTACTGAAACGATGACTTTGCAACAATTCTAGTCCAGCAAAATATTTACCAGCTGGAATTATAATTATATAATTATCGTTATATAATTATAATTATATATAATAATTACACATATAATACATTATATAATTATATATAATAATTATACACACATAATATATTATATAATATAATAATATAATTATATGTATATGCATACATATATAATATGCTATATTATAAAATACAGTATAATATAGTGTAATATATAATATATAATATATTATAATATATAGTAATATATGTAATAATATTATATATATAATTATAATTATATAATAATTATTGACCAGCCTTCATTCTCTTTTGCTGAAAACTTGTTCGCTTGTCAATTGAAAGAAAATATTTCATGTTGTCGAGCTCGAAACACGACACTTGCCACGCTTTTCGGATCCAATTCGCATTCGAACATAACACAACACGGCTCTCCTCCGCCCGGGCTTTAATTAACTTCAGATTTACCGAAGGATAATGAGAGAGAGCTGTGGGAGGCCTGAGAGATCGACCTTGATATCCGTTCCTTCTTGGATTTCGAGTTCATATCGTCAAGTAGAGTGTAACCTTCCGTGCTTCAATTCGAGACCGTGATCATCGAATTTTCGTTAACAATAATTGGACTGTTATCCGAACGTTTACGATTTAATTCACCGAGACTACTGTGATATAAGATCTCAATTTCGTTAAATTATAACCATCCTTTATTTAAGATTATTTATAAATGGCGATATTTACAATATTTTATTTACGAGTTCGCAGTTTAAAGAAATAAATTTTGTTATCTCTTTTTCTGTGCATTCCACGTGTTTTCCAACGTGACGGAAAATCAAGTATTTTCAACAATAACTGTGAAATCGGACATTTCATGTTAACAACAAGCTTTTATTAATACGATGCTGCTGTTTTAGCGTGTAAGTCCATTTCATTTTTGTTACAAGCATTTTTTACAATGTTTGTATTATTATTTTATATGTGTGCAAGAAAATGGGGAGCCTATTTTCATTCAAAGAATTTTATTTCGCCCCGAAGGACTGAAAGAAGATGAAATAAGAAAATTGCTTAAGACTTGCCCGTCGAAGTACTAATTTACAAAAATTTACGAAGTTGTAAAAAAACCTTCCAATCATCAAAGTTCTCTTATTAGTAGTACTCCTTTAATGCTTGTACACCGTCGAGAAGTTTGGGACTTCGGGATTTTGAGAATTGAATGGCGCCATTAACTCTCAATCCTAGAATTATTAAGTTGCAGGCGGTCATTAATTTTTAATTTACGATTATTCATATCTTAAAGACATATTTATGAGTTATTCATTCAATTTACATGTCACTCACGGCAAACGTTATGTAATGTAATAACACTTATTAACAATCAGAATAAATGTCTCGTTCTTACTTTTATAAACTAATATAAAACAGCTGTTTTCTGTGCACCGTTCACGATTTCGAACAAAAGTCTATGAATAGTATTCGCATAAGTGTACGTATAGACTTCAAGGATGAAGGATTCGCGAGTATGTCCGACGGAAAACGTCCCGACGAGGGTCTTTTGTCTTTCTCTCGCGGAACGGTGGAAAAAATTATTGAAAGTTCTAATAGGATTACGTTTTCTCCATCTTGCCTGTCCCCTCCGCGCAGCTAATGGCCGCCATTATTCACAAGGGAATACCGCGTAACTGTATTCTCACGGTGCAGTGACTTCAATACCGCTATAAC